AGGGCATTCTGTCCTGTGGTCTCTGGTGACTTCGCACCCCTATTACAATTACCACACTCGAATTTAGCTGCCTACATGCGTGTGTTTGCCATAGACAGCAGGCTCAAGGGAAAGCACTGGTTGTGTTTTTTCTGCTTTTTCTTGTATGCCAGGCACCAGGCTGGCACCCAGAAAGTGCTCAAAAATGTCTTTTGCATGAATCAATAAACCACATCATCTACACATAACTCCTTTCTTGTGGGAACTGATTTTCCCACTCTGCATTAACTACAGAGGATTTTTCTGTGTGACATTTATGTCTCTTAATGATCTACAGATAAAAGCTTTGACTAAAATTATTCTCTTTTTTGTTTCAAAAGCCTTATTTTTAAAATATACTTATGTCTCTAATACAGCAGTTGTATTTAGTTTATCTTACTTGAAGATATAAAACACTATGAATAGAAACTTTGATGAGAGGACATTTAGTTTTATATTGCTACATTAAAGATGTTTTTAAAAATCCAGAAATCTCTGGAAGTATTTTGTCTTCTTAGGTTTCTGAAAAGGAGATAATTTATCTTTATATTCCCAATGCTACCATCTATTGGGATCTTGACAAATGTTTCAAACAAAAGAATTGAGATAACTGTCTTTGACATATTTGAAACAATATTTTGTGACTAACATTTATTAAGCTCTTGCTAAACATAAAGTCGTCTCTTAGTTACTCTTGTCAATGGGGAAAACCACTGGTGTGTATAATTGAAAAATGGAGCTACTTTGACTAAGGCCGACAGAGATGAATGGAGAAGGACATTGCCTGGAATCTTCTCACCCAGCTTCATGGTTCCTGCTGCCTTCTGGATGGATGATCAAGTTTGATCAGATTGAGTGGGTCATATGTGTAAACACATTATAAGAGTGCTTTCAGCTTTCATTTTCCACTTGGTTTCTAATGGTATCCAAGAGGAAAATGTAAATTAATGAAGAAAAGAAGAGTGAAAATTGGAAGTGCAGTGAGGGAAACACAGACTGAAAACTGAGCTCTGATTTCAGATTAAGATTTCAGATGTTAAGATTAGCAGATGTCTAGGATAGCATCACAGGCAAGCAAATCTATGCACTTTTAAATGTGCAAGTTTACCTGGTATTTAAATAGGCTAGTGTTTCAGAAAAATCAATAATTGTTGTCTGTTATAATGAACAGCATCAAAAATAACTGTTCTGATATAGAAATAGACTTTTGAAATTTAAATTTAAGTAGGTATGCTAGATAGTCTCCCAAGAGAGACATGAATTTCTTCTCTTCCTCCACATTCATGTTGCTTTATCAATCAGAGGTGAAGTTTGTTTCTCTTCCTCTTGAACTTAAGCTAGTCTTATGACTTGCTTTGCTCAGTGGCATGTAGTTTAAGTGATGTTATGGCAACTCCAGACCTAAACCTTTAAAGGGGTTGGTAACTTCCATTTCCTTTCCCTTGAAACCAACTGCTACATACAGATCTGACTCTCCTGAGGCCACAGCCTTGTGAGGAAGTCCGAGCTAGGAGGAGCCATGTGATTAGCCCCAAAGTGTTAGGCAATTGAGAAAAATTTTCTTGCATTTACCAGTCAATCTTAGCTACAAGCTGAATGCAGTTGAGTAGGTGACCTAGCTGATGTCATACAGAGAGGAAGAAATTCCCAGTTGAGTCCTATCAACTGACAGACTCATGAAAAAAATAGTAAATCTTTGTTTTTTTTTTTTTTTTGTGGTACCAGGGATCACACTCAGGACCTTGTACTTCCAAGGCAGGTGTGGTGCCACTGAGATAATTCCCCGGCCCCATTTTTTTAATCAATAAGTTTTGAGTGGATTGTTTTGCAGAAATGGATAATGAGTCAGTCTATGACTCATTGGTTTTGATACTGATTTTATAGTTCTATTATCATAATGTTTATATATATGAATATTACACTTAAATATAAAAGTTGAACATACCTACTAAAAAATCTAAAATCTAAAATACTTTCAAATTTGAAACTTAGTGTCAACATGATATCCCAAGTGGAAAACCCCACTCCTGACCTCATGATGGGTTGTAGCCAAATCATAAGACATTAGAAATATTGTATTAAATCACATTCAGATTATATATGTGAATGATATGTGATCAAAATATGTGGTGAATGTTTAAATTAAAAAACTTATAGTAAAAGATACATTACCATTAGTTTCCTTCAGAATACTCTCCCTCCCTTCAGACACAATTATCCCACTGTTCTTGTCACTTTTGGAAGCAGTTCTGAAAGTGCTTTTTCATGAATGTCTTTAGTTGTGCAGTTGTGGCTGCCTAGATGTCCCAAGTCAACTCAAAACTTTTACCTTTCGTGGCTATTTTGACTTTGGGGATGATCCAGAAAGCACACAGTGCCAGATCTGGCGAATAAGGTGAATAGGTGAATAAAGACACATCATAATGTTTTTATTTGACAGAAATTGCCACAGACATTTGGTTAAAAAAGTATGATCAAAAGATATGGTGAATCTGGAAAGAATCCATATATAGATTGTATTTAAAACTATAGGAAGAGATGTAGATAGATACTAGGCTGGAGCTCATCAGTGGGTTGGGAAGGAAGAGTCACTGAGATCAAAGGAGAGAAGGGTGTGTTTCCAGAAGAAGCACATACAACTATGTACAATACACAGTACTCAATAGTGTGATAAATTACTGTTAATGTTTTACGTACTTATCATAATACTCTGTGCTTTTCATTCTTTGGAGCATAATCCTACTTACATAAAAGAGTTTACTGTAAAACAGTGTGCTGCTATGGCAGTAGTAGCCTCATGTATCTTGTGTTTTACTGTGTATTTGGATAATATCAAGGGGCCATCACAGATGATTGACGTATACCTTCTCAGTTTGCACTTAGAAGTTGGCACTCTGTGTGGTACTTTGTGATACACAAGGATGAAATTGCTTAATAACATATTTCTCAGATTATATTTCCATCATGTGTCACATGACTGTATTGAAATTGAAATTTAAAAAATTTGGTCTACGTGGAGTCTACTAGCTATTATAATTTTTTTTCTAGACCTCTATTTGTTCAATATTAGTTTTGAAAATCTTTCTAAAAAAATCACATCCTTTGATGTCTTGTTAATGCTTGAGATTTTTAAAAAATTATATTGAAAAATGTTTAAGTACTTTTCAGTTTTGCTTTGGTTGAGTTTTATTATATTTGAATATTATTATAGTTTTTTCCCTTGCATTGCTTTTCTTTGAATGATTTTAATTTTTGTATATGTGTGTGTTTAGTGAATGATTATAATAAAGTTGTACATAAAAAAGATATGATGAATATTTAAATTAAAACATTTATTACAACAGAGGGTGTATTGCCATGAATCCCCCTCAAAATAGTCTCCCTTGCTTTTCCCATTATTCTTTGCAATGTGTCTTTTACTGTAATAAATCCTTTAAAAATTTACACATTCACCATATTTTGCAATCCCCCTTTGTATAGATGTACATGAAACATAAATAAATTTTGTATTTTGACTTGTGTCTTGTATATTATTATATATCTCCAAATATTCCAAAATAAAAAATCCAGAATCTGAAACAAGGATACTCAGTCTATAAATGTGTACATATTTATTTGTTAAAACACACATATATGCATCATTTTAAAGTACTAAATTTTGCTTGGCATAAGTTGTGACTAATTATACAAATGATAAATATCTACAAATATTCCAGATTATATATTTCTCTCACTTGTGCTATGACCAAAATCAGCATCTGATTTGCATTCATTTTTCATCTCTTCTCAGTAATTTGAACTAAGTGGATAAATGAATTTTCAACATATTCCATCAAAAACCACAAATAGAATATCCAAACATGCCAATTTTGGAATACAAATTGTGTTTATTATATTTTGTTATTAGAGTATAAGAATTCATAAAAACACTGGAGTCAAACAAAATAAATTTCCTCTGTGTTCTGAGATTAAAATAAGATATGAGATAGATGGGCATCAATAAATGAAGAGGACTGTACGGTTTAAGATAGGGAGCTAAAAGTTCCAGTTTTCTAAAACACATGATGATTAGCCTCAGAAATCAGTAAAACATTATTATTATTTCACCAAACTCTAAACCCCAAGTTAGATTTTAAAAATAAAAATAGAAGAGCACGACTTTGGCCATTAATTCTGCTAAGTAGCTTCACGCGTTAACATAGCTGGAACCCCCAAGAGTTTCTAAGAGAACCCCAAGGTTACTGCTTTCTGGAATCTGAGTCTCTGGTGCAGCTTCAGTGAGAAAACAGATGTTCTACTGGCGCTTCGCTTCGTGAAGAATAACAGATGAGTAGACAGAGGCTTTCAATCTGACAGCAGAACGCAGTGATCAGAATCCTAATCGCTGGGTGGATGATAAAATAGAGCGGGGCAAGGATGAATTAAGATGACATACTGTGTTTTATCAATAAAAGTAATGGCAAGAGATATATTTCTCACAATTACTTAACCAGGGGAAAGCTCCCAAGGAATGATACATTTTGCTTATAAAAGCAGTGTGAAGCAGGATAGATCACACTGTCGATTTAATGTCTTAGTTTGCGCATTTGTAATAGCAGCAAGATTATTCTTTGTATTCATTCAAAATGAACGAAAACAGAAAAAACTGATTCTGACTATAAATCCTTTTCTACTGGAAACCTTTTGTCATGCTACGTGCTTCTTGTTCCTTAGGTGAGAGCAGGTTAGAACATTGAACAAATGGCCCTCTGTACCAGGAAAGCTGTGATATTATTCCCTGAACCTTGGCTTAAACACGTAAGGTGTCTTATTTGGGAGATTTTACACTTGGAGAAATAAAAAATATAATTTCCAGTTTGAATAAAGGATGTGACATCTAGCAGGTAATGATATTATAACCCAGTTTAAGCTAATGTTAGTAACAGTTCAGTATGATATATTTTCTGTGAAGGAAAGTTTTAAAAATTACTATTCTCTTATAGGTGATGTCATGCTTTCAGTGCATTTCCTGTCTGTGAATACCACAATAAGATTGCAACAAGAACTCGGAGCTCATTCATCAATAATTGTTGAGTAAGTACATTGCTCTGAGTGTCAAACCTGCCAGAGTGGGTTTGCCTTGTAGAACATCAAATTGGAATTTTCCGCTAATAAGAACTTCCTCATAAGTAGATGTAAAACAATATTCAAGGATAGGAGGAAATAGTTGTTCCTTTCTGATGGCAATTTTCATTTATATTTCCAAATCATTTCTTTCTGGGAAGATTCTATAATCTGTGTTGCTATATAGGATGTCAGGACAGAGGACAATGGGGTACCCCATTGTCAACCCCAGTTTTGCCCCTCACTGACTGTACTTGGGCAAATTACTTGAGTATATTTCATTCCCTCATCTTTAAATTAGGGATGGTCATAGTATTTACTGTACAGATTTTAAAATGAGGAGGAGATAAACTAATCCATTTAAAAGAGTTAAGACAGGAGCTGGTACATTGTGCCTTCTTAATCAACATTAATCATTATCCTAATACTGCATTGATAGGCACTGAGCAGGATGAGATGCTGAAAATGATTTCAGGGAAATGATTTCTTTAGAATGTAAGCCACATTTCTTCTTTAAAATGAAGAATAATTTTTACTTTTAAGAACTTCATAGAAAGATCCCATGACCTAACTGTGAAATAGCTCCCTTCTTGTTAGGAGCTTCTTCTGCATACTGAACTCCAATCTGACTAATTTTAGAGAGGTACAGTATATTTATTTGGTCACTCTCTTTTACTTCATTCAATAGCATTGCAGATGTTCAATATTTTCTATAAATGATCTGATTTTGCTCTATTCGCTGTAAAATCCACTCCAAACTCATCACTTGTTGACTTATAACATCTGATCAAATACTTGACTTTCATTTAAGTGTAAAGGATAGATATATTCAATGATTTTTCTCCCAAATAAGAAATGAAATTTTAAACAAGATAAAATGAGAATCTAGTTTTATCACTATACAACTGAAAGCCCTGCAGTAAAGTTCGTTGCCCTGAGGAGGAATTCAAGCTCCTCGAAGGACTCGTAGGCATCCTATGTCTTTGTTTCTCTTTTTCTTTACATCCAATAATGTATATTCAATACAATTTGACCATTACAAACCTCTCTTAGCTTCTCTGATGATCATGTAGGGTTTTTTCCTGTTGGTCTGCACCTTATTTTCTTTTTTCTTCAAAAGTTTTTATTAGTATATGTTTCTGATACATAGTAATTACATTCAACTTGAGGGATTAATACATATACATATCACATCCGGATCATTTTTACTTCTCTCCCCTCTCCCTCCTTCCTCAGATCCCCTCCAGATTTCTACAGTGTCTACCTCTCTGTTTCTTAGCGTATTTTTTTTCAGCTTTACTCTTTAAATTATTTCTGTTTTAGTCTCTCTTAGAGAAACCATGAGATATTTAACCTGTGCCTGACTTATTTCACTTAGTACTATGGTCTCAGATCGATACATTTTCCTACAAATGATTCAAATTTATCCTTCTTTTGCCAGAGTCGCCTGCAGTGAGTCTCTGGTCCCAACCTGCCTCGTGTGTGCCACAGGCCTTAGAAAAAAAATACACTAAGAGACAAAAGTAGGAGAGAGAAAGCAGGGTGCTAGGGTGACTAATGCTGGTGCAACTGACAAAGGCCCTGGACAGTCCCAGGGACTGACTTTTATTGGCAATCAATTGGGGTAAAGGTGACATGTGGTTTCTATGGAAATTAATGTAAACAAGGCTCATCAAGGACAAGACAAAGCATTCTCAAATTAGGAACAGAAGAGACAAAATATATGATTGTAATTAGAACATTGTCCTTCTAGTCTGAAGGCTTTAGTTGTGGGAACAGAATTTGGGTGTGAGTTACTCTGACCTCGGCACATAGACTTCAGCCAGACTCAAATTCTATAAACAAGCCAACTGTGGAGTTAACTCTTTACAACCTGTCTTGGGCAAAATCAATATTATGGTCCTCTGCATTCTTTATTGGTGAGTAGTACTCCATTGTGTATATATACCACAGTCACAATCCATTCATCTGTTGCTGGGCAGATAGGCCATTTCCATAATTTAGCTATTGTGAGTTGCTAGGCTATAAACATGGGCATCCATATATCACTATAATATGATGACTTTAGCTCTTTCAAGAATATACCTAGGGGAGGTATGGCTGGGTCCTCAAAACACTGAAAATAGAAATTCCCTTTGCATCTCGCTTTCCATGATTTTACTCATCATTGAGGTAGCTTTGACCTCAGACATGTTTTTATCCAGATGCCAGCCTTGACCCTTAACCTCTGTGGCAAATCCCACCCCCCTATCTGCTCACATATCTCCAGATGTCAGCTGTCACAGTTTTATTACTTACTTATGCTCTCTTTTGAAGAAAATGTTTTATAGGATGGAGACTATGTCATACTCATTCACCATTCTGTCCCCATCCCCTAGCAAGGTAGATGGCACATGGTGAACTCAAAATGCTTCTGAGTGACCAACCAAATAAATGAATGAACATTTAAATTTCAATTCCCACTGACAGATTAGCAAATAATTTGGTAAAACGTTATCTCCACATTTAAATAATACAAGTTACTCTTTGGCAATCATAAAAAAGGAGAGAAATTTAATCAATGGAATTAAGGGGGTTGGTCTCAGCTAGCTGCCAAGCTGGGAGACATAAACACTGAACAGAATTTTATTTCTATATTATTAATGTAGATTGGGGAAGAATAATTTTTCTAAGGTCTGTTGAAGAAATAAAACATACCTATCTAACAAAATAAGTAGTGAATTTTAAGCTGTCTATAAATATTCCAAATGAAAAATTGCCTTAAAAGTGGTAATATATTAAAAATGTAATATAAGTGATGGTTATATGTGGGATTCATAGGCAAAGGATAAGCTTATGCTTATCATTTCATTTTATAGTGACATAATAGCTTTCTAATATCTTTTTTACTGAATATTGATTACAGTTTTGAATCTTTAATAATGTCAATGAGAAAATTTCAACAAAGCCAATTTTGTTTCCAAAATACTTCTAATCTTCCCTAGAAACCTTTGATGATCCTTTTAAAAGTGATTTATTTTAAAACTGATTTTTTACCTTTTTCTTAGCTGGATTCTAATATGTGACTGAATAAACACCCACAGATAGCCTTGCCTAACATGTAAATAGTTCTCACCAACTATGAACTTCAAGCAGCTACACTGTGGGCCTGATTTATGGTCTATGTGTTCTTTAACCTTAAAATAAATCTGATAGCCTGTCTTCAGATGAAATATTCATGAAGTTTCATAACATTCATTACCATTTTATGATTCTTTTTAGTTGGTATAACAACAATCCTTTCTAACACTCTATTAAATCAGGAGGCAACTTCGTAAATCACCAGCCCAAGTGCATGAAACCATCACTTGTTAATATCTTAGCTGCGCTGGAGAACGTGCTGGAGCATAGGGGAAACTCATGTTGCCAAGGACTCTACTATTTACATCATCTTCCTTCAACATGCTAATTTATTGGAGAAGATTCCTGTCTGATTTCTTCTAGCTTGGATTTTCTGAACTTGACAGTTTAAGTGAGAAATCACTGAAAGACTTAGGTAAAAAAATGTTACTTTATGTAAAAAGTGCAAAATAAATGACAACACAGAGCTTCTTTTCTCCATTACTAGTAGATCATGTTTTTTTGACAGGCAGGAAAGGATTCAGGTGGGGTAAGTTTAATGGGGAAAAATAGAAACCTCTTCTTGAACTATCTCACTTATACTTTTTCATCTCAGCACAAGCTTTCCAAATTTGTTTCTGGGACACTGGGTGTAATTTTGTCCTTCTGTTACTGAACTGGAAATTGACAGTAGACCAAGCTGGAGGTGCAATGGATATTTCTTGATATGTGTAGATGATTATTATAATAACTGAATAATTTTAAAGAGGTCAAAAGGCATAGTTTCTGATTTAAGAGAACTATATCTTTTCAGTTTTTAGAATAAAAATTTCTTTTGTTTTATTTAAAAGTAACCTATTAAAATATCTAGTGTTTATCCTGTGAAGACCAAGCCTTGACAATGTAAGACAGGGATTTTTGTTACATTGTTTTAAAGTTTTCCTGTATAGATCCAGCCCTAGTACAGTCAAAAGGAAGACTACTCAGGTGCTGGGAATTTAGCTCAGTGGTTCCACCACCTGCCTTGTGAATACAAGGTCCCGAGTTCTATCCCCGGTACCAAAAAAAACCCCAAAAAAACAACTGGGTAAAAAGGAAGAGTAATCAGCCTGTCTAGGCAGAGAGTGGATTGTTTAGTAGATTTTATAGTTTTTTAAGATGGAAGATGTAAAATTTAGGAAAAACTTGAGCTTAGAAATCTGGGTGGATGATAGTGATGGTAGTGGAGGGAGAATGAGAAATTAAGAAATTAAGGAAGTGTCAGGGATAATTTTTTATTACGTGTATTAATGAAGAATCAGCCACTCCTTCATTGCCTCGTGGCTTTGTCATGGGGTAGTTCAGGTCAGAAACTAATGGGAAAGCCACTTTAGACCTCCTAGTTGCTAACTGTTTTTCTATCTGTCCTACTCAGAGGGTGCTACATGGAAGCCAGATGGCTGCAAATGTTATTCTGGTTTACAAGCATGGAGATTTTTGTATCAGTGCCAAAGCCATTGTCAAAACGTTCTATATCAAAACAAAACAAAAAATAAAATCCTCTGTTTTCCAAACTTCTGAAAATTCCACAATAGCAGTAAAATACACCCCCCCCCCCCCGTGTAGGTTTTGGCAGCTAAAAGGAAAAATTATCCATTCCCAAGCGGCTTGTTGTCTGAACTAACTGAGCAATGGGGCAGCCAAAAAAGGAACTGCATCATTGAGGAGCTCATGAATTTTCAAACAAGCAGCCTTTGGAATTCAGAACTGCTCATAAGGGGCCAAGCCAAATGGGCTTGTCATGGAAATCAGCCACTCAGAGGATCCTGTGGTGGCTGGAGGGGATTTGGAAAGTGCCAACTATAGTCACCCTCAGGCAAAGAGAAAGCAAT